TAGGCTGAGAGGAACCACTTCAAACCGTTCCCTCTCACGTAGGCATGGGGCACCAGCGGGTCAAACACCGCCGGCTGAGAAGTTACATCCACCAAACAACCATCATAGGTCTTGCCATCCGTGCCCTCGTACTGAAAATCCTCTGGACTCGTTCCCCCCACAACCTGGTGCTCATGACCTCTGTCTTGAACCCAAAGGCCTTCAGTGGACTCCGTTCGAATCTCGCTCACGTAGTTGTAGGTGCCGCGCTGGTTGTGGCTGTCCTTGTGCTTGGGCACTTCCTCCGCCGCTTGGAGGGCCAAAGTAGTCCAACTGTAATCCATAGAGGGCCACGACTGTTCCAGCCGTCGGCGCAGGTAGTAATTGAAGTAGGACGCCACCCAAGGGAGATCCCGACCATACCTCGTGACTCCAAATGCCCCTCCATGAACATAGGCGCCCAACACCATACCCTTGCCACCTGTAGCTCGGGGAACCCTGAGGTTACCACACGTACCAGCCACCAACGCCAACAACCGAGCTGCATCCACTTCCGAAAACTTGTCCTCCTGACAAAGCTGTTGAGCCGTCCTCTCAACATATTGAATTTCTCCAAGACGCAGGTACTTCACGTGAGCCTCACCCTCCTCATAGGAATCGTCATCCCTGGGTACATCATACAGCACCTCATAGTCCGGAAAGAAACCATCCGCCCTTTTGATCACGGGCCTCTTGGCTCTCACACGGCGAAGGGGAGGAGGTAGAAGTGGTGGTGGTAGCGGAGGTTCATCTTCATGATCTTTTGCAACATCCTCTGATTCCACCACAACAGTAGGAACCACCTCATCCAACAAAGGCGGGTCCTTTGTAACTCTGACATGCGTCGTCTGAATGAAGGTGCCGGAGTCCTTAAGGATGACATGGCCAGTTCGGATATCCGTAGATGGGCCCACGTAGCGCCCTCGTGTCCAATGAGGCCCAAAGTCTTCCACAGCACCTGTTTTGTAGCGCTTGGTCTTCACGTAGACACGCGCTCCATAAGCCACGGGCATCCGGGGCAAAGCTCCAAGCTGTTCTGCTCGCTGCTGGCTCGCTGCATACTGAACCGCCGTTGGCCAATTCGACCTTTCAAGCCCAGCACTGTCCAGCAGTATCCTAGCTCGGCGTTTGAGGAACCGGACTCCAGCTTCGGCGACGCCGTTTGCCGCCGAATCCGAACCAGTAGTCGTTGTAGGCCACATACCTTGAGAGAGGGCCCAGCGTCTAACAAGATGGCCTCGAAACTCACCACCTCGATCCGAGTGCAGTCTCGTCACGGGAAAACCCAAGGCCTTCACCTCCGAAACCATACGCTGCACCGCCGGTAACATTGAGCTCGCCCTCTTATTGGTTACGGGAACCGCGAAGTACAAAGTGGTAGTAGATAAAGGCTCCTTGAAAGACGCTACCA